CAAACTCTGGAACAACCTGCCCCCCAACATTAGGCAGACCACCTCCGTTCCTGCTCTCTTTGCTAAATCTCTGCTAAAAACACATCTGTTTTCTCTGGCATTTCACACAGTGTGAGTTGATTTAGTGTTTTTTGTTCGGTGTTCCTATGTTTTTAATACTTTTTTTTTTTTTTTTAAGTATTATTAGCATTTGTTATTTTTTCCATAAATTTTACTTTCATTGATGTTATTGTTAAGCACTTTAGTAACAGCTTCTGATTTAAATGTGCTCTATAAATAAAGTTGACTTGAGTTGTTTTGTTTGTTCTTTGTTTTTTTTAGCGAGTCAAATCAGTTCTTCTCATCCTGACCATTTCATTGTACTGTTAACCTTGTGCTAACCTTGCATATGACAAACACCAGAACAAAATCCGGGAACACTCTTATTTTGACAGGGTGCATTCTGAAAATTGTTTGCTCGGATCCGGTAGCTCAAATCTCCGCCCCTAAAAGTCCAAAGTCATTGAGCATTTTTATTTAAAAAAAAATATATATATATATAATTAAACAGCAACAATAAAGGTTAAATCGTGTCATCTGGACCAGTTTCCTTAAGTGAGAAAGGTTTTGTCCCCCATCCAGAGGACTTCCTAAGTCTAAAGTCGACCAACCAGATCTGTCCCATAGGTAGCCTTCACTGTTGTGTTTCAAGCCAACCTCCTGTTGAAATCTCAAAAGCAGACTTTTAACATATGCAAAACACACTCATCCAAAACAATCAATCATCATGTACATCAATCAAATGCTTTAGGCCAGATGGCCAACTTGCTACTCACAGAAACAGCCCGAGAACAACCAAGGCCAAAGTGGTTCAGAAAAAGTGTTGTAAACTCAATCGTCCAGGTAGATAACAACAAAAAAGGTTAAATTGTGGCATCTGGACCAGTTTTGTTAAGTGAGAAATGTTTTGTCCCCCATCCAGAGGACTTATTCAGTGTACAGACTGCCAACTAATAAGTGATAAGCTCTCAAGACTCAGACGCTGCATGAGCTGAGCCGTAAGCTGGACACAATTTCTGAGAATCGCAGGCCACGTGTGGCTCCTGGGACTCACTGGAGGCGGCTACAAGCTTGGTCTGGCGGTGTAACCATAAAATTTATTGTTTGGAATCACCACTGAGACGTACCAGCAGAACTCTGAAGTAGGGCTGGGGGATATGGACCAAAATGAATATCTTGATAGTTTAAAATAGATCGTGATATACGATATATATATATATCAATATTTTTTCTTTCCATAAAGTAATAAAATATATTTCTGAGTCAAAGCTTTATCCCAGTTGTCACACATAGTAAATAGCTTTAACTGTACAAAACAAATGTCTAAAAAAATAAACTATTTACATATATTAAATAATAATCCTCTTCAGCTGGGGGCAGCTGTGGCTCAGAGGCTAGAGCAGTGGTCCTCCAATGGGAGAGTTGGGGGTTCGATTCCACCAGCAGTCACATGTTGAAGTGTTCCTGGGAAAGACACTGAACCTCTCATGGCATGTCACATTGGTGGATGAATGTGCTAAAGCTCTGATTATTCTTTCTAGAGATGCTGTATCAGGCTATGTATAGAGGCTGCACAGCTGCAGAAAGAAAAGCTTTGCAGAGAGTGGTGAAGGCTGCACAGAAGTCTGTGGGAGTCAGCCTCCCCACCATCACAGACATCTACACCTCCAGATGCAGGAAGAGGGCCACCTGCATCATGAAGGACCCCACTCACCCAGCACACACTTTTTGCCCCACTCCCCTCAGGAAGGAGGTTGAGGAACATTAAGTGTAGAACCACTAGACTGAGGAACAGCTTCTACCCTGAGGCTGTTAGACTCATGAATATCTAACCAGAATAATCACTGTGAAAAAAAATCACATCACGTTGCTGCTGATCAGTTTCATGTTGTTGTTGATCAGTTTCATGTTGCTGCTGATCAGTTTCATGTTGTTGTTGATCAGTTTCATGTTGTTGTTGATCAGTTTCATGTTGCTGCTGATCAGTTTCACGTTGCTGTTGATCAGTTTCATGTTGCTGTGTTCATTCATACTAATCTGCTCAAACAGACTCATCTCATGCTGTTGTTCGGCATTGTGTTTTTGTATTACTTGTGCTTAGTGTATTTTTAGTTTAAAGTTTTTCTTAGTTCATTTATCTTAGATCTTATTACTGTTTTTCTTTTGCATTTTATACTTTTGTTGGATGTAACTGGGACCATGTGTACACAATTTCGTTCCACCACATGTACCACGTGATGTGTATGACAAATAAAGAACCTCGAATCCTTAAATCCTTGAATGAATGTGTAAATGAAAGCACAGATTATGTAGTAAAGAGCTTTGAGTGTCTTGATAAGATAGAAAGGTGCTATATAAGTACAGTCCATTCAGCTGCGCAACCTTCCCGTTAGTAAGCAGGTGTGAACTGCAGCTGCAGGTTCAACAGACTTCAGCCTACTTCCCTGAAACAAACCACGGTATAAAACTCATTTAGTCGTGCTGTGCTTTATGAGAGGAAAAGTGAGAGGTGGCGCCACAACATTAATAAATCAGCAGCTTATCATATCGCTACAGTCCCTGTCTCAGCTGTGGAAAAAGACAGCTAAAGTGTTAGCCGTCTTGTTAGCCTCCAAGGACAGTGTCAGGTCTTAATATTGGTTACCTACTCTGATTTTAGATTGTCTTGATTTTTTTTTTCTTATATAATGGACCTCGATAAATCTCACTGAAAATGAGACATATAAGCCTTTGATGCCTGCGAAAAAAATCCATACAATTATGACTTGGACCCTGACAATAATTTTTTCTCATCATTTGATTTATCTGATCTCTGTAGTTCTTATACGATTGCTCAGTTTAATGACTTACAGTGAGGAAAATAAGTATTTGAACACCCTTCATCTTTGCAAGTTCTCCCACTTAGAAATCATGGAGAGTCTGACATATTCATCTTAGGTGCATGTCCACTGTGAGAGACATAATCTTAAAAAAATAAATAAATCCGGAAATCACAATGTATGATTTTTTAAAATAATTTATTTGTGTGTTACTGCTGCAAATAAGTATTTGAACACCTGTGAAAATTAATGTTAATATTTGGTACAGTAGTCTTTGTTTGCAGTGACAGAGGTCAAAGGTTCCCTGTAGTTTTTCACCAGGTTTACTGCAGCAGGATTTTGGACCAGTCCTCCACAGATCTTCTCTAGATCAGCAGGTGTCTGGGCTGTCTCTGAGAAACAGAGTTTGAGCTCCCTCCAAAGTTTTTGTATAGGGTTTAGGTCTGGAGACTGGCTAGGCCACTCCAGAACCTTGATCTGCTTCTTACGGAGCCACTCCTTGGTTCTCCTGGCTGTGTGCTCCGGGTCATTGTCATGTTGGAAGACCCAGCCACGACCCATTCGTTTTAAATGGTCAAAAAGATTCATAGTGCCAACGTTTCGTGTGGACTTGTTTTCTGCATTGTCTACAGAAAACATTTTTCTGCTGCTAATCTGACAATTTAAATCCAAACCATCTCCAAATAACAGCCATTGTTTTTCTTTTTGATCAACAGTTAAGCTGCTCTTCGATATCCTTTCCTGTGTATAAACTCCCGCCCACCTGGATAAGCAGGAAGCAAGGGGCTGTGCATGTATTCAGTGAGGGAGAATGAGGGGTCATGTGCAGTTGGTGCAGACCTCTAATAATACTCAGTGGTTGCGATAGAGCCATTTTAACAATCATGAATTGAAAAACTCGTGATACATCGAGTATATTTGATACATCACCCAGTCCTACTACTTGGAAGCAAAATTTTAATTTTGAGGGAAACTAATGTAGGTATTTATGTATGTACACTAGTGTAATCTCCTAGACACACACACTTTAAATTGCTGCACTTGGTCAAACTAACACTCCATTTATTCAAACAAAACAGGTCTTACTCGTATGTTACATTCCACCACATTATAAGAACAAGATTAAAGCTGCAAGCAGCATTGAAGGCCTTCGCAGCAAAGCACCGCTCCGGCCATACTGCGACTGCGGGAGCTCCAGCGACTCTGCCCAGTCGCCATCGCAAACGATGTCGCTCTTGTCCCACGCCCATTCACCGGGGTGAGAATTTGCGAACCTTCGACATCACCCACGACCGCTGGCGCTCCAGCAACGCCTCCCAGTCGCCGTTGTGAACGCTCTCATGCCATTCCCATACGCGTCCACCAGGGTGTACATATGCCTAAACTTTGCAAATGCCTTCCGTCAATATCAGTATGAGAGGGGGCGCACTAGAGTCATATGTTAAACCACAACATCAATGTGTCTAGGAGTGCTTACTGATCACGCACAATAAATCTGGTGCAGATCAGATGATGTATCACTGAGCTATAACTGAAGGAATATTGTAGGTGGCGTTTTCATATATGTTGAAGGGGCGTGGCCAGGCCTCAAAGTTGAGCTTCACACCATAAATTTCCAAACACTATAACTATCACAATGAAAGACCGAAATGCACGAAACTTGGCATGACTCATCCCTGTTGGATGTCCGACGATCCACTATGGTCATATTTGGACGTCATCCAAGTCCCGCCCCCTCGGAACAGGAAGTCTCTTTTTTAACTTGGAATGCTCCCTCTCTGACACCATTGACCTAATCAGGATGATCCTGTGTTAGAAGACATATAATATGGTCTGACTTGCTTTAAAGCACAAACCGTTTTTGATTGAGGATGTGGGCGTGGTGGCGTGCCAAACTAAGAAGTGACGCCGTTGCAATATGTTTGGCTCTAAAATGCACAGATTTCAGCCGAGGTGCACCAAAATCACTATGATCAATCATTATCCACCCCTTGAACAGGTATCCAAGATAAGTGGCCAATAGCCAATAGAGTCGCTGGAGCTCCCGCGGTAAGTCCAGAGCGGCGCTTTGCTGCGAGGGCCTTCAATGCTGCATGCAGCTTTAATTTTTACTTGTGTTTTCCTTTCTGTAGCCTTCCTCACCTGGTTGTGACCTCCAATCCTGGTCAGGGTGAGTCTCCCTGAACTTTGAGGCTGCCTCTTCCTCCATGGCCAGTTCTCTTTCAATCATGGATGTGATGCCCCTCACCAGGTCGAGCAGGGCGCTGAAGGCCACAGACATGGCGTAGCCCTCTGGGATGGACGGGGGCTCCACCTTGTCCAACATCTCTAGACTGGAGAAAATTGAGACCAATCAACTACATGCAAGTGTAAAATGAACTTTGTCTGCTTTTTGTTGCGCTCCCCTTGCTGTCATTATACAGCCAACATGAAACTTGCTTGCAGTAGATACACACGGATGCTGTCAGTTTTTTTAAATGATAGAAAAGCTTTCACTCATGGATGATCTTTTTTTAATTTACCGGTAGTTTTCCTGAAAAATACCGCCGAACAATCCCAGTGGTACCTTTGTTCTCTGCTTTATTACAATCTCCAGTAGGTTTACTGCTTTTAGAAGAAAATGTATTACTTGATGCAAGCACAAATGCATTAATACCTCTCTGAAGAACTGCTTGTTAAACTGTATAGTTGTACAAAATTTCATATATTTATTTACACATTAAGAGATTTAAAAAATAATTAAACATTTCACAAACTTTACATTAACAATTCTTACTATGTAGCCTTGGCACTGCCCTGCACGCTAACATTCATCAGGGGGATCCAGGTACCACGATATTCAAATGCCGCCTGGGTGGTCAAGGTGCTGCTGACGCCTCCTGTCCCAGGACCACCCTGAGATGTGACTTGAGGTCCTAGACCTGACCCACCTAGAAAAAGCAATGGCAGAAAATATAGTGAAACAAAAATAAATAAAATAAATAAATAAAACACACACACACATACCCACTCATATTAACGGTTATTTTAGTTTAGTGTTTAAAAGTTCACAGTTAAGTTGCACCTCAAAACCATAAGCTGAACCTTCAGGTGTGTTTGAACCCATCTCTGTGATCTCCATTTTTTTCTTCCAACTTCATGGAGATGAATTATGCCTGATAGTCAAATTAAACCTAAACACTAACCAGCAGGAGAAGTGACAGCAGCAGCGTTGCCAGCATTGGGGACAATAAAGAGGGACTGAATGAAGGATCCCAGGGCATTGACGATGTCTCTGAACACCTTAGTGGAGTGTTGCTTCATGTCGTATGACTGACAAAACGAACTGAAAGAAGAAAACAAAGAGTTTGTGGACACACAAACACAACAAGGAACCAGCCAATTGAGAACAAAAACAGCACAGGATAATGCAGTAAAATCCAGAGGATTCAGCTTGACCTAGGCTTTAATGAAACATCAGTATTACACAGTTATTTATTGAGATAGAAATACTGTACAGCATACCAACGTTTGAGACCCCACTACTACTTTATACATTGTTTATAGCAGGTTTGGTTTATTTACCACAATAAATGAGGCTGCACACACAACCTATGGACCGATTCGACAGCCACCGCTCTGAGCCACTGTGGCTTCTCCCCATCAAGAAACTTCACCAGCAGAGACAAGAAGATCTCACACTCTGTCACCTGGGATACAAACACACACACACAAACTATATCAGACTTAGAAAAACTCCTGACCAGTAAAAAAACAACAACAACAACAAAACTCCAATGGGTTTTGAGGTGGTTGCTTAGAGAATATTTACAAGTGAGTAACACAACAATTTTCAATTTATGTACTAAAAATAAAAAAAAATAAAAAAAAAACATCTATGATTTATGGAAGTTCATTAAGGGGCTAATCACAATTTTCAATATTTTCATGAGGTTACAGTACGTACGCTCTTTCAACCCCAACATTGTAGTGTTTTATAAACTTGTCAACCACAAAGAGGATCGTGAAGTCAATGTATGACATAAGTGAGACATCCGATACACATTGAACGCATTGTGCACCACATCATCCCAGCAGAGTTCTGCTACGCCTCTTTTACTTCCACTCAAGCTCAAGTGTGAGCAGGACATGGATGCTTGACCTGTGACAATGAACCATTAGACCCACAGTTTTTCAGCATGTGAGCTACTTTTAAAAGTCAAGTCAAGTCCCAAGTCAAAGTGCTGTAAGGCCCTGTTTACACAGAACAACCTCTGGTGGTTGAAAAAACCCACTAATCTCTGGTCAGTGGGTTTTTCTTATGTTTAATGGGGTAAACAAAAAAATGAGTGGGTTTACATGAAAAACGCTGTAGATTCCATGACAGTCAAGTTGCCAGATAAGAATTTATAAAGTATAGTACTGTCGCCTTTAAAACTGTAGTATTTTAGAGTAGATAGTTCTAGAATTGTGCTGCTCAAGGTGGCTGCATGTTGGAGCAGCTCTGTTACTTTCATTCTGAGATTTTGCTTTTGGAAACTTAAATTCCTCTTTTTCTGGATGTAAATCACATTTTTTGGATGATTGTTTCCTCTGGTATCAGATGCTGTGAAGCTGGAAGGATTTTTACTGAAATTGTTAGTTTTGGACATTTGTTATGATGCGTAACCATGGCAACAAGGCAGTTTTCTACAACCAGCAGCTGATTAACATCTCAAAAGTTCAAATCAGAGTCAGAGTCAGAGATTCTTTATTGTCATTCGCACCTCATGTGGTACATGTTGTGGAGCGAAATTATGTACACAGGGTCCCAGTTACATCCAACAATAAAATGTATAAGAAAAACAGTAATAACATCTACGATATAAACTAAGAAAAACATCAACTAAATATACACTAAGCACTCATAACATAAAACATTGAACATCAGCACAAACATGAACATGAGTCTGTGAGCAGATGTGCACGCATGAACACATCAACATTGAAACAGATCAGCAGCAACATGAAACAGATCAGCAGCAACATGATATGGTTTTTCACAGTGATTATTCTAGTTA